CCCAAATCCCCAAGCATGGTTGTGCAGACCAGCAGCATGGCCCTGGTTAGAAATACAGAATCCTGGGTCCTGCCCCAATCTCCTGGACCATTTTTCACAAGGTTCCCTGCTGATTTGTGTGCTTGTCACAGTTTGAGAAACTCTGCTCTAGATTCTAGAGTCTAGGACATTCTCTCCAAACTCAATTAGGAGATGGGGGCGGGGGAGACGTTCTAGAGAAGAGAGGAAGCCTAGGGCAGGAGGGACCTCCTCTCTTGAAGGTATGTGGTCCCCCACTTTGGAGCATACCAGTGGTATCTATCTCATCCCCAGCCTAGAGGACCCACATGGCTGTCTGCCACCCCTTTCTTTGGCTTTGCTTTCTCAACACACCCCTCCCAACCAGTGTCCTCCACACCCAGGAGCACTCACCCAGAGCGTTGTAAGCAGGGAGCACCTCAAAAGTGATGCTCTGCCATTTGGTGGACAGCTGGAAGATGAGCCTACCGTGGAGCTTCCGGATCTCCATTCTGGCCTCCAGCTTCATTGTGAGCTGACAGGTTTTCAGCCCCTGCCAGATCTTGCTGAGGATTTCATCTTGGCTTTTTTTCTGATCCTGAAACCGCTCAAGGTCACTCACAAAGATGACAATCGTACCATCGGAGTTGCCCCTCAACACCGTTTTCCTGCCACAGGAGCCACCCTGTCAACGATGGAGAAGCAGACGTGAGAATCTGGACCCTTTGGTGTCACAGGGCGCCCCCATAGGCGATAACACTTCTCCAATCAAGCAAAAGCCACGAATGTCACCGTAGTCCTAAAATTGAGTGGCTGGCGGCCACCATCTGACCAATAGGATGCTCACGGCAGCACTTCTCACACGAGCCTCTGCCTGGAGGCCATTCAAACGGCCATTGACGATAGAACGAACAAATGTGATGTATTCGCACCTTGGAATACTGTTCAGCAACGAAATGATAAACACACGCCTACATACAACGTCAATTTTGTAAGCAGGATGGGTCAAAGAAGCCACACGCTAAAGCCCCACCATGCGTGATTTCATTTATATCAGGCAACCTGATACAGAGGAGGGTCGGGGGGTAGGTGTAGGTTACACAGGTTATGTTGTTTGTGGCAATCCACCGGACTGGGCACTCAGCTCTGTGCACTTTGGTTTTCTTACATTTTATGTTAATTAGAAAAAAAGTTAACAACACCGAGAGGCAAGACGGCATAGCGGTTCAGGGTGCATGCTCCTGGGGTGCCTGGGTGGCTCAGTCGGTTAAGCGTCCGTCTTCGGCTCAGGTCATGATCTCATGGCTTGTGGGTTTGAGCCCCGCGTCGGGCTCTGTGCTGACCGCTCAGAGCCTGGAGCCTGCTTCAAATTCTGTGTCTCCCTCTCTCTCTCTCTCTGCCCCTCCCCCTCTCATGCTCTCTGTCTCAGAGTCTCTCTCTCAAAACTAAACGTTAAAAGAAAGTTGAAAAAAAGACTGAGATTTAAAAAAAAAAAAAGGTTCATGCTCCCAACACTATCTGGGTTAAAGTCCAGCTTTGCCTCCAGCTAGTAAATAACTTCCTTGTGCCTCAGTTTCCTCATCTGGGCCAGGGCGAAAGGACACCGAGTGTCCAGGTATCTTTCCTGCTGGGGCTGTTGGGCATGCATAAGGCAGAGGCCAGAAATCACTGTGACTGAAGAGAAGCGGGGCTCCAGGGCTAGTGAGCGTGAGGGGGTTGTTGGGGGATCTCTAACTCCCTCCCACCCTAGGGTCCCAGCACCTTCCCAGCAACTTTTCCTCCCCAGAGGCCCGGAATCTCCAGCCTCAGCCCTGGGATTTACACCCACAGCACCAAACATTTCTACTGCTGAGAGACGCCCCCTGTTGCCCTTGAGAAACCACAGAGCCACCTTCGGGTAGTTTTACCGAACTCAACCGGCCTCAGTTTACTCCTCTGTAACATGGGGAGGATAGAAACGATAACAGTGGGTAATCACAGCTCATTTATTGGCCACCAACTATGTACCAGACCCTGTACTAAGAACATTATATACTTAAGCCTCATTACAGTTTGAGGTGCGTATTATTCCTCTCCCATTTTACAGATTCAGAGACTGAAACAGAGAGGTTAAGCACCCTGCTGCGGGGCGCGCAGGAGTAAAGGCAGAGCTGGACCGTAAAGCTGTGCCCCTAGGCTCCACACCATATCCATCATCCCACTCGAGGGCGCAGAGGACAAGGCGAAGCCTGCCTCACCCACGGCCTGTCACCCAGAAGGTGCTCAGCCCCATGTCTCTCTTCCTTCCGGTGGCCACGGCACCTCCTGGCTCCCAGAAGCCCTGACCCCAGCCTTCCACTCACTTTAGCCACACATATCACTTGGGGGAGCTGCCTGGTTTCCTCCAGGAAGGCACAGATGGTGTTCACCGTGTCATCGATCTGTTTCTGACATTCTCCATAGGGCCTCAGGGAGTTCTGAATCAACTCCTCCAGCTTCTCCGGCTGCACGGAGTACAGATGCGACCCCCAGATGCCCATCGCTCCTGCCGCTCCTGCCGGCTGCTAACCGTAGATCTCAGATCAGCAGAGAGGAGAATGCGTTTCCAGAGCCAGGAAACGGCAAATCACAGGAAGAGAGTCTAGAAACCGAAACTCATAGGGTGAGTTTCCAGCTGACTTCCTCAATCCAGATTTCTGCCCACCCCCACAGCGTGGACGTCGGCCGGTCGGCTCCTCGGGAGGCAACCCTGTGGTCACACAGGCAGACTGATACGTGCTACGTCGTCTGCCCTATTTGTGCCTCAGTTTCCCCATCTGTGAAATGGCGATGACAACGGTACCTCTCCGGTAGGGTTCGTGTTAGAATGGGCGGCCACTTGGCAAATGCTGTTTGAGAAGCTGTTAAGGAAATAATACTACTTTACAGGCGATAGAGGCTGTAAAGGAGGCTCTTTTCCTTTTTCCCTTGTTAAAAAACAAAATTCAATGCTTGTAAATTTGAAGATCGAATTGGCTTTATGAAGTGATTCACACATTGGGCAGCATCCCACCTAGCAAGTAGAAAGAGCTCCCAGGGTTGTGCACAATGGAAGGTTTTTCTAGGAAGGAGGGCGGGGCAAGAAGCTTGAGCAGGAAAAGAAAGGAGTGTCTCAGGCCAGGACATCTGCTTCGGGCAAAGAGACCGGGCTGGCAGGGTGTTTATCCTGCAGATGATGTCACTAGTGCTGATCGGGAAATTTCAGAGGGATTTTTCAAAGGTCACATTCCTGGCATAGGTTAAAAGTTTAATTCAGTCTTGGTTTGCTGTCACGGGGGGGGGGGGGGGGCAAGTGGCTCCAACTGGGGCTTGGGTTTTCCTTTTTAACACCTTTGTCTCCATGGCCTGGGAAGTCAGAGTCAGCGAGGGCAGCAAGGAGAAAGAGACCCAGAGAGGGGATTTATTTGCTCAGGGACACACAGCAAGGCAAGGGCTGAGCCAGAGTCAGGTTTTAGTTCTACCACTGGGCACATACACGTGCCAGAGTGTTCAGCAGGCATATGCATGTGGATACCTGTAGGTCCTCAGCAGGTACCTCCCTGGCCGAACAAGGATGGGACACCGGCCCAGGAGTGCACAGGCCAGGGGGAAGACAGACGCGCAACTCCATCCAGAGTTGTGCAAAATGAAAACCCCAGAGGGCTCCCACTGGCTGCCTCTGTCTAGCAATAATAAATAATACAGAAGGCAAAAAAAAAAAAAAAAAAAAAAAAGTCCCTGAGATGGGGAAAGAACAGGGCCCTTCTCTGCTGTGATGATTAGCTTCGTAGGTCAACCTGGCTGGGCCATGGTACACAGATATTCGGTCAAATGTTATTCTAGATCTTTCTGTGAAGGCTTTTTTTTTTTTTTTTAGATGAGATTAACATTTCAATTAGTAGACTTTCAATAAAGCAGAATACTCTTCCTAGCACGGGTGGGCCTCATCCAATCAGTTGAAGGACTTAATGGGAAAAAAGGCCGACCTTTCCTTAGGAAGAAAGAATACCACCAGCAGATGGCCTTCAGACTCAAGCTCCAATCTCAGCTTTCTTTTCTGGGTCTCCAGCCTCTCAGCTTACCCTACAGACTTTGGACCTGCTAGCCTCCACAAATAGCATGAGCCAATTCCCTACTTCGATCTATCTATCCTATGGGTTCTGTTTCTCTGGAGAATCTTAACTACTACACCTGCCCAATAAGGGTCTTTCCTCGTCCTTATGACTGTTCCTACCACATTTAGAGGTAGGCTGCCCAGGGATCAGAAGGCTCCTTCTCTAGATGAGAACACGAAGGCTCAGTGGGAAGGTTCACACAGCTCGCAGTTTGTCTGGATAGGTTCTACCTCCGAATGACCTGATTCCAAAGTCCCTGCTTTATGATTGTTTTTAAAACATTGCATTTTGCAATAACTCGGAACACTTTGCATTTGCAATAACTCGGAGAAAATGTGCGAGATGAGTACAAAGGAACTCATTGCATTTGCAATAACTTGGAGAAAATGTGCAAGATGAGTACAAAGGAATCCCCATACCCTTCCCCCGGAGTATTTTACCACATTGGTTCTTTATTCTCTGCATGGGCATCCCATCGTATAATTAGTACGGTATTGCCATTTGAGGTCATATTGAAGACGTTAGTCCCCTTTACTCCTTTTTTTTTTTTAAATAGACTTTATATTTTAAAGCAGAATTAAGCAGAAAGCCCAGAGATTTCCCAGATACCCCCTGCCCTCCCATGCACAGCCTCCCCCACTAGCAACATTCCCCTCCCCCACCCCTGCCTCCAAGACTGGAGCATTTGTTAGAACTGATGACCCTACGTTGACATGACCTAATCACCCAGACCCCTTTCCTCTTAAGTACTCCAATATGTATCCTCTAAGAACACGGATGTCTTGTTACATAAACACAGAGCAATAACGTGATTTAGAATTTTCACATTGATACAATGCTATCATGTCTTATAGCACATATAATGAATAGATTCTTATATTCAGATTTTTAAATTTTTTTTTTAACGTTTATTTATTTTGAAAGACAGAGCATGAGCGGGGGAGGGGCAGAGAGAGAGGGGGACAGAGGTTCAGAAGCGGGCTCATTGCGACAGACAGCCGAGTGCCCCATGCAGGGCTGGAACTCAGGAACCTGTGAGGTCATGACCTGAGCTGAAGTCAGATGCTTAACCGACTGAGCCAGCCAGGCGTCCCATCCTAGTAAGTTCTAATGTTGGTTGGGGCTCATCCCTCCTCCGAGCTCTTTTTTTCTGCATTTTCCAAGCTTTTCTTGCACACATGTGTGTCCATAGAACTTTAGTATCAGTTTGTCTCTTCCAGAGAAAAGTGCATGTAGACATTTTTGTGGTTACACTTGTTGCATCCACACGACTCCTGAAACAGAATGCGACGGGCACCAGTGACAGTCCCCACAAAGTTTATTGCAACAAGAGGCAAGGCCGACCGATCGGGACCAACACTTTTGATCAGAGTGCGGCCTCGAACAGCCGGGGTACAGAGTTTTTATAGCCGACCACATCGTTTTATCATTACCTGGGAACAGAACAAAGAAATAGTTCCCAGATGAGGTGGAAACAGTTCCCGGATGGGGTGATTATTCTAGACTTTCTGCCATTAAGTCCAGTTGATCTCCTTGACCTCTTTTCTTTGAACTTTTGTTTTCTTAATTGGTGAGGCCTAATTTACAACAGTAAAGCAAGGCTGCTGTCTCTTAACCTTCAGGTCAAAACAAACCTGTTATGTCTCAAGCTATAGGTTAGCCCTACACCACAATTTAACCCTTACATCCTTAGGGTCATTACATGTAAGAAATCAACTTAAAATCGCCGCCTATTAAGGGTGTGGCTAGATCAGGAAGCCCTCAAACGGGACAGCAGGGCTATGAGGCCAATACCAGAGTGGCCGTTGTCAAGGACGCAGGAACCAGAATAGAATAAATCTGCGCCACCCCCTCCCCCCCCCCCTCAGGTCAGCCCGGACCAGGTGACAGGTCCTTCTCACCTCCAACCTACTGGAGCTACCCCATTTCTCACCATCTCACAATTATCCTAATTCAAGAGCCATTTTGGGGGGTGTGGGGTGCATAGAGTCCGCGTCATGACGATGGGAGTTATCGAATTGAGACCCTGCTGCTGGCCCCACCTGGGCCGAGAACCACCAGCTTGCAACGCCCAGGCCAGGTCCCCACCTGCTGCCGGACATGTGATGGGACGGGTCCCTGTGCCCACCGGTGTCAGCTCTGAGCCCCTGGAACCGCACCAACGCAAAAGGTGTACCTTGGGGTCCTGCGAACCCCAGCCCCGGCTTCACAGGCAGTGAAGTGAGTTTAAGAAGGCTTTTTCAACACCACGTGCCCTCAGTAGCAGTCCAGCTGTCAGAGCGAGTGGCACAGGGAAGGGGGGCACCCACGCGGCCCCGGAATCCGGGGGCTCTGCCCCCGAGCCTCGGCCGCTGTGGCCCCAGGCAGAGCAGAGGGCCTGCTCTCTGGCACTTTCTAAGAATGGCATGGACAGGGGAAGGCTCTTCCCCACCCCCGGTCTGCATCCCCGCCATGGTGTATGCCCCCCCCCCCCCCCCCGTTCCTATGTTGAAACCCCAATCCCGATGGGATGGTATGAGAAGGTGGCGGTCTGCGGGAGGTGGTGAGGTCTCGAGGGGGAGCCCTCACGAATGGGATCAGTGCCCTTGAAAGAAGAGTCCGGAGAGCTGGCCGGCTCTCTGCCATGTGAGGACACAAGAGGTTTGCAGCCTGGAAGGGGCTCTTCCCAGAACCCGACCGTGCTGACTTGCAGCCTCCAGAGCTGCCGGAAATACACTGCCGTTGTTGATGAGCCACCCGGTCTGTGGTGCCTTGTTACAGCAGCCCGAACGGACTCAGCGCCCGACCGGCAGTACCCAGCAGTGGGCCACGGAGAGTCAGGCCATCTGAGACACTCGGGGGGGGCAGGGTGGGGATGCATGGGGGCTCCTTCCCCTCTGTCTCCTCCTGGTCCTCCCTCTGGGACGGCCCACCCCCTCACCCGCCCAACAGACATTCGCAGTTCACATCTGCTGGGGATGCCGACCCGGACGCGGGCGGTCAGCACTGGGCATCCCTCCTTCCCTGCGCTGCAAGGAGTGGGAGGTGAACAACTCGCTTCCGATGGCCCTGTCGCCAGACTTCTGGCCGTAATTTCGACTGTGCTCCAGGAGGGAGACAGAAGGCATCTTCCTGCAGAGCTGGTGGCTGGCAAGTCCCAAGCGACACCCGTGGCTGCTGGAGCCCACATCCCGGGTCCGGCCCCGGCTAGGTGGGTGTGAGGCAGTGGCCTGGTGACAGGCAGGAGCAGCTTCCTGACCTCTGATTCAGCCACGGGGGTCTAACCTTGAGACCACCAGTCCCACCACGGTCCTTGCCTTCCGCTCCTCCCGACTGTCCAGGGACTTTGGATGGAATCCCTTCCTGCTAACGATTCCTGGACTACTTCCTGTTTTCTGTGCTGAGCCTTGACCGAGAGGGACACAGCTGTCGGCCTGGAGGGCAGGAGCCCCGCCTGCAAATCACACTGTGGATTTGCCCTGGAGGGCGGAGGGAAGCAGGCTGAGCACTGTTGTTTGGGCACTGGCTCGCTCTGGGGATGGAGAATCCCACCGGCGATGTTCCAGCACATCAGGAGAGAAGACAGGAGCCCAGAAAAAAATTCAAGAAGGCAAACAGGCCGTGGTCTCAAGATGTGCGAAGGAGGTAGAAAACAAGGCTCCTCCAGCAAAAAGGCATTCAGTCAGGGGTCCCATGAGAGGGACTGCATGGTACACACGTCCCCACGCCTTCTGTCTGTGGCAGACAAGACCGGCCCATCCGGGCAGGCTCTTCCTGCCGGTGGCCGAGCTCAGAGAGCTGCTCAATAACACCGTTAGCCTGTGAGCCCATATTCCTGCCTTGGGGCCAGACATCGCTAATCAATCACAGCACTCGTGCCACCACGTTCCCCTACCGCATCCATGGCAACATCACTAGTTGATTACATCGCATCTTCCCAGGTATGCATCCATTCTTTAGAATCTTCCAGAACCCAGGCCTCCAGGCGGCCACTGCCGATGGCCTGTGGCTGACAAATGGCACGAAGACTGCCATCTCTGCGAAAGCCGCTGGGCTGGGGAAGGAGGAGAGGCCACTGGGCGGACAGGGATGGGCTTCAGCGGAAGATGTGAACCGGTGCGGAAGGGCAGAGAAGGCGGGAAGGAGGAGGACATTCTCGGCAGGGGCGGGACGCAGTGTGGTACGCGACAGTGGCTGTCTGAGAGTGGAGTCATGGCGGCGACAGGCCGCTGCCAGCCCACGGAGTCTGGTGCGCGGCCGCAGGAGGCAGGGGAGCAGGGGAGCCTTGTGGTGGCCAGTGCCCGTCTGACGCAAGGGGGTATTTGATAAAACTCAGCTGGGCTGGGTACGCAGAGCAGGAGGAGGGCAGAGAGTGGGAAGGCAGGGATAGGAGTAGGGAGGCTGGACAGAGGAGGAGTGGATTCACTGAATCGAGGCCTCTCTGTCTCTCACGAGCACACACACACACGCACACACACATCTGGTAGGTGACCCGAAGTCTCTCCACGCCAACGGCTGGTGTCCATCCCTCCATCTGGTATAAATTCCAGCCTTCACACGGCAGCCTGGCGGAAGGTGACAGAAGAAGTTGGTTTGTCCTAACCTTCCTGGAGAAGCAGAGACCAAGGGACAGCCGGGATGTGGAGGCACGGGGGCCCCTTTGGCAGGAGTCAGGCCCCTCCCCTGAGCACACTGTCCCCAGGGAAGGGTGCGCCCTGCTGCGCCATACAGCTCTCTTACCTTCGCTGGCCATGGCTGGATGGGGGTGCCGTCCCTGCCCATGCAGCACAGGGCAGACATGCAGGCCACAGCTTCCTCGGCCAGCAGGTCCCAGCGGGCATGGTGGCCCAGGTTGCCCGCCGGGTCAGCTGGATCCAGGATGATGGGCCTGCAATCCCATCAGGGTCAGTCCGACCCCTGGCAACATCTGGGTGCCCCTCTGTGGGACTGGTTGGACTATTCTCCTCCATCACCCAACACTCTGCACGGGCCACTTCTCCCTTCTGTGTCCCGGGCAGACATTACTAATCAACCACCATGTTCGTTTGGGCCACTCTTACCCCTTCAGCATGTAGCGGGCATTGTTAATTAATCTCGGGACTCGTTCTACCACTCTGCCTTCCTACATCTGTGGCAGATGTCACCACATCAGAGTCTTTCTCAACACATTGTTCTAAGTTGCCGTCACCCACTGACTGGAGATGCATCGTGAATTTGTGCAAGCGTCTCTGTTATCTTTGCACCATTTCAGAGGGAGGCAAAATCCCAAAGAAGCAGACCTGCTCCTGTTACCTGGTGGGTTCCCAGGTAGGGTTGGCACATTTAACAAATATAAACAGAGGATGCCCAGTGAAATTTGAGCTCTGGAAAACCGTCAGTATGTCCCAAGGACTGCGTGGGGGCATACACATACTAAAAAGTCACTCATTCTTTTTCTGAAATTCAAACTTGGAGTCTTACATTTCACCTGGAAACCAGGGGACCAGGAAACGGAGTGCCTGTCCCTCAGGTGCTAAGGCTGTCCCTGTTAAGGCTGTCCCTGTTAGAAAGGAGCTCCATTCCAGGAAGAGGAGTTTGCTGTCCCTGCTCTGTGCCCTGCGGAAGTGGGAAGGGCGAGGGTCCCCAGATCTGAGACACTGCAACACTGAGTGTGGGCCAGTCCCTGACAGTCTTGTCCCGGTTGTCGTAGTTGACGGTCCAGTAGACACAGAGCTCACGGTACCGGCTGACCAGCTCCAGGACAGTGCGGAAGCCTTGCGCCATGTTGAACTGGGGGTCCCGGCCGCCCTGCTCCCAGGCATGCACCGTCAGGAGCTCTAGCCCGTGCTGGGGGGGGGGCAGGGAGCCTTTCCCCTTGGGCATCTTGTTGCACTGGGGAATAAAGGGAAAGTGTGGGTTGACACTGGCAATGAAGAGGCACAGGAGGGACCCTTCCAGAGCTGGCAAGACCACCCCAAACCTTTACCGGGCACTTCCATGCGTCAGATGCCCGGCCATGCACTATGCCCTCAAATGCTGCGATGTGGCAACACCAGCCCCAGTTCACCGATAAGCAAACCAAGGTCCCACAGCTATGAAATCTCTCTCCAGCCGCTGGGCCAACCCAGGGTCGTGCCCCGCCTCCTCCCAGGACAGCGCTCCAGGGCCCGGGCGGGGGGTGGGGGGATGGCCCCGTCCTCGTGGCCGAACCTGCTGGTACCAGTGCTTGACCAATCGGATCAGACTCTTCAGCTTGGTGGGGCGAGAGACGATGAAGTCCCTCTGCAGCTCCGTGAAACAGGTGGAGTACTCGCCCGCGTTGTTGTAGCTGTGGATGAGGCCGACGTAGACTTGAGGCGTGGGCCTCCTGCCGGAGCTCAGCTGGCCTGGAGACAGGGAAGAGGCCACCGTCGGCTCGTTTCCCAGAACCCCCCTGGGGCCAACTGAGACAGGCCTTCCAGGATCTCCTACTTGGGCACCTCCCTCGCCGGGGGGTCTAGACCCACGGTGGCGGGGAGGGAGCACAGGGGATCTTAGACGGAACACAGACGTGGCATGACCCAGCCTTAAATCCCCGGTGAGAATCTCGCGGCCCTTCCTGCCCCCTTTCAACCCCTCCATTTGGCTGTCAGCAAGAAGTCTCAGCTGGGAGCTGACACATCTTTAGCGGCTCCTGGACACTTGTTCAGCCCTCTCTAACAAAGGCAGAGCCTCAGTCTTAGAGCCTCCTGTAAGGAACAGGACCGTATCACTCTCCGGCTTCACCGCCCTTAAAGGCATTCCTTGACATTCAAGCGTTCCTGCTTTCCGAACTGAGGAACTGTGTAGATTCAGACACATTTCTGGATGATTCCCTCCCTTGTCACTCGTTTCTCAAACCTCAGGAGCCAAGTACATTCCAATACACGGGACGTCCTCGCTCTGCGAACTTTCCAGTGCAAGTTCAGAATTGAATAGATAGAAAGGATTTGTGTTTGTTTTGTGCAGGGATGTACCCTTGGTGCCACGGAGAATGCTGGACACGTACTCACTCGGTGCATGTGTTGAATGAACGGATCCTCCGGGTCTGTGGAAGGTGGAGAAGGTAGCACACAAATCCTCGAAGCTGGGAGTGCACGGAGACACTCGAATACAGTGTCAGGGGAAGACACTGCGGCTCAAGGCAGGGAATTCCCTTGCTCAAGGTCATCTGTCATGCTGAGACTAGGGCCCAGCCCAGGGCCACTGTCAGATTGCATAGAACTGTTGTATGAATTGGAAAAACGTGTCCTTTTCTCCAGACACCTTGCAGGAAAGTGGTGAGAAACACACATGTGTACAATGCCTGCCCTGTGAACATGTGTGGTCTGGTTGTGCAGTGCACAACCTCGACTGCTGTCCCTGGCAGCCCTGCCTCTGCTTTCCCCCTTCTCAGGAGTATGCTCGGGTACCTCACCTAAGGCGTTAAAGGCTGGCAGCACGTCAAAGTCCACGCTCTGATCCAGCATCGTCTGGGACATCAGAGAGAAGCTCAAAACGCGGGGATTCTCCCACTTGGGGATCTCGAACTTCACCTCGAACTGCATCTCCTGCTGACATGCCTCCAGCTGGGCTCGGATCTCTGAGATGATCTCAGCCCGCTTGTTCCCTTGTTCGGTGAACTGGCTGAAGCAGGTGAGGAACACCACTATATCAGCATCTGAGTGGCCTCGCAGAGCTGTGCCTTTGGCTAAAGAGCCACCCCGGGGAGGACACGGAGGTGGCTTGACCCTTGCAGGACTGCATGACGTCCTCCTGCTGGAGCCTGTGGGTCAGGAACTTGCTGTGTGACCTTGGGCAAGTCACCTAACCTCTCTGTCTTACCTCTTTAATATGCGGTTGAGACGTAGTATGGTTGCAAGAAAAAGAAATGTGCAAGATGTTAAGTTTAAACCCTTCAACAAATGCAAACGTTCTCATTCCATCAAGTTTGGGGGCCGGGAGGGATTTGAGAGATTTATTTGCTTATTTTTTTGACTTGTGGTTCTCAAGCCTGCTTGTACCAGGAGAGCTTTAAAAACTGACTGATGTACGTATGGCTCCTATGCCCCTGTGACTGTGATTTAATTGGCCTGGGAGGGGGACAGGGCATCAGTCTAATTTTTAAAAGTCACCTCGTGATTCTAAGTGAAGCCACGGTTGACAGCCAGTGAGCCAGGTTATCATCTTTAAGTGTTATGGGTAAAGAAGGTAAGGATCAGAGAGGGGAAGGTATTTGCCTGGGGCCACACAGCAACTCATCAGGCCTGGGACTTTTCATTGGCTGATTCCATGCTGATAATCTTCCAGAGCTAACCTGGGTCTCACTTGTGACTTCGGCTGTGGACCGAGGTTGTATCTGGTGCAGTGGACAATGTGGCTTTTTATACACCCCCAGCATCCCTTCTACTTCTAAGACCAGCACCCCGGTTTTCTTTGGGGGAACCGCTCCTCCCCCACAATTCAGGTCCACGTGGGACTGACTCAATAATATGAACCAGGCTTGGCCAGTCAGAGCGTGGTGTCTCCCTAGCCCCAGTGATGAGTTTGGGGAGGGGTATATAACCCGAGTCAGGACAATAAGACTCAATTCCAAGACTTATTTGAATTTTGAGAAAAAAGAATCCCCCTTTCTGGAAGCTTAGAGATGCCAAGAACCATCACATGGAAAGGGCTTGTCCGAAACAAGACAGCAGAGCCAAGGGCTGGGATGAAAAGCTGAGTCCTGATGACCCCGCACGGGCTCCTGGATCTAGCTGTACCTGATGGCAGCTCTACTCCAGGGCTTTCCATTTACATCAGCCAATATACTCCCTTCGTTCCTCCTTTTGAGTTGGCTGTCACAAGCGACCAGAAGAGATTTGTTGGACACCTCTGAGCCCTCCCGCCGCCACCCACCTACAACAACGGCGTTCTGGTTTCCCTTCTGTGTTTGGCCTTGTGCCGATTGTTGTAAGGGCCACAGAGGTGGGTCGGGCCTGGCCCTGGCTTGGGAGAGATCCCCAGCCTGCAGGGCCCTCCTTGCCCACGGCCCTCTGGGGACTTACCTTGACCACCTTGAGCGCTTTGATGGGAGAATTCCGGAAGCAGTTTTCCCTCAGGAGTGAGCAGGTGGCATTGACGGCCTTGTTCACCTGAGCCAAGAACTGGCGGCTGGGCTGGAGAAATTCACTGATGAACTTGTCAAGGTCCCCAGCTGGTGTTTGGTGAAGGAGAGCAGGCTACAGAAAGAATCCAGGTACGCCGGCTCGAGCCAGGATTCCCTAGGAGCGCGCAGGCCCTGCCTCTTGCCAGTCTATGAGGATGAGACTCCCGCTACCTCCCACAGCCCTTTTCTTTCTCAGCTGCTTGGCAGGTCTGCGTGGGAGCGTCAGAAGGACCCGAGTTCACGTTCTGGTTCCACCGCCAACACGCAGCCTTGGTTTCCCCATCTTTAAATGGGGGCAATAACAATTGTCGTGAGTATCAAGCCCTGGTTATGAGATCCGGCTGACAAAAGCAAGGGCAATAAACTCGTGTCCCTTCGGGGGCTGGCTATCGCCTTAAGCGGGGGTCCCCTAGAAGCAGAGCCTGCGATGGGGGTTCTCGTGCGTGGATTAACGGGGGGCAGTGCTTGCAGGAAAAGGGGAGTGAGGGAAGCAGGAGAAGGAGCTAGGCAAGGCTCCAGCTCGAGAAAGCTTTCTCTCGATCCCACGGGGAACTCTGGACTCGGAATTGCATCACAGAGCCGGTCTCGCCTTAAAAACGAGGGTGGGCTTTTTGCCCCCCGTGTCACTGAAGCGCTGGCTGGGACAGAAGAGCAGGTGTCTCGGCTGTAAGCCGGCAGAAACACACACTCCTGGCAGCTGGGGAATGCGCGCACCGGCAGGGAAAGGGGGTCTGGAAGGGGGCACCAACGGCATCCGCCGCCCCAGGGGCTCCCCTCTTACCATCACATCCCAGGGCTGCACAGACGTCCCCTGTCTATTCCTAAAGCAGGCCTGTGTCTCCAGAGCTGCTGCTTCCTGGGCCAACAGCTCCCAGCTGCCCTGGCCCACATTCCAGGTGGGGTCAGCAGGATCCAGGAGCAGGGGCCTGGGGGGCAGAGTGGATGGGCAGGCAGGTGGGGAAGGTGGGAATCAGTGAAGAGCAGGGGGGTGGGAGGGACCAGAAAAGGGTGTCGGGGCTGGGGAGAAGGAGAAGAGTGTCAGGACCTTAGGGCTGGCCCAGTCTGTCCCAAGCACAGTAGGGTTCCCACCTGGCTGCCTCAGTCAGGTATTGGGTGAGCCCTTCATTTCAGCCATGATATTTTATTGTGTTAATGAACGTGGCTCTGGCTTCTTTGGGGGCTCCCTGTGTCCGTGCTTCTACAGCAAAGAGTCCAGAGCAAGGAGTGGGGTTGAGGCACCCAGATCCCAGCCTGGATCCCTCCTGGATGCAGTGACTCCAGGGTGACCGTGGGGGGGGGGCGGGGGGAGAAAGGATGATGCAGTGCATCATGGGTCTGCACCTGGGTTTCTGAAGCTGGCCAAGAAGGTATGTTCTGATAGCTGGGTCCTCAAAGCTGTAGTTGACCGTCCAGTAGACACAAAGTTGCTGGTGCTGCTGGACGAGCCCTAGGACCGTCTTGAGGCCTTCAGCCGTGTTGAAAGAATCGTTCCTGCAGCCCTGCTCCCAGGCGAAGATGGTCAGGAGCTCCAGGGCATAGACTGGGGGCAGGGAGGCACAGGCTGGCTGCCGTCCTCTGTTCCGAGCTGCGACCTAGGTCACCCAAGGCCAATCAAAGAATGAGTGGAGTTGAGCACCCAAGATGTGCCAAGCATGGCCCTATGTACTTGGAGAGGGAGGGGAATATACAAAATAAAGCCCTTTTCATTTTACAGGACAAAATGAAACCCTTTTTATTTTACAGGTGGACACACAGAGGTCTGGGAACGGGCGTGGGTAGTGACTTGTCCAAGGTCACACAGCGAGGCTAAGAATCTCAGACTTGATCTCTGCCCAGAGTCTCTCCATCAAGGGTGTACGGGACGGTTGTACAGGAATGGGGGCTGCGATATATTCAGCTTGGTATCCCAACATCTGGCACAATCGTGACGTTAGTGGCAGTGGGTGCTCAGTAGATGTTTGCTGAATGAGTACACGAATGCGAGTGCATTCAGATGAGTGTTTTTGGTGAAGGAGCTCTGGAGGAAGCTCGGGGTTTATTTAGTACACCTTGCACACAAGACAGTGATGGTGGAACAGCATAAGCTAGGGCTTGGGGGTGGGCAAGAACAGGGAATCCATTAGCAGCGTGGGGAGTGAAGGGAAACAGATGAGCTAGAGGTGGATGGTGAACCCCAACTACAAGAAACGGGCATTCGGAGCTTGACGGAGAAAGATTTTCTTTCAGCCAGGGACTTCCGGTCTGTACCGGAAATGGAGGATGGAGGAGGTGGACCTTCTACTTGGGATGGCCAATAAGAAGTGAAGGAAGGGAGATGGCTGCCTGGGGGAGGCGCTGATTGGCTGAGGCAGTTGCCATGACAGCAGCTACTTCCTGGGAGGAGGGAGGCGGGTATGGAGGCCTCACCTGGTAATACCAGTGCTTCACGAGCAGGATCAGGTTCTTCAGCTCGGGTGGGCGAGTGTTCACGAAGTTCCTCCTCAGCTCTGTGAAGCAGGCCACGTGCTCACCCCCCTGGCAGCCGCTGTCGAGGAGGCTGGAGTAGATCTGGGGCTCAGGTCTGGCGCCCGCACAGAGCTGCCCTGCGAAATGTGAAGTACTCTGAGTGCCTAGCTCTAACGAAGACAGCAGCATGTCCCCACCCAGCCACTCCCCAGCCTGTATTAATATTTTAACGTCAATTGCATAGCATAGCACTGCAACCCATAATACACAGTCTACGACATGGAATAGCAATCAGAACTTTTTTTTTTTTTTAAGCACCAAATACGTGCTGGGTGCTTTTCAGTAATTTTCCCTCATCCACCCAATAACTCCGCAAGGTGGGTGATCTCGACCCTAGGCAAGCTGTGTAGCAGAGCGGGCGAGGGAATTGGTCTCCAAGGCACAGGCTGGAGGCAGCCCTCACCCGCGGCATCAAAGACAGGCAGCAGGCTCACGTCCATCCAGCTTCCTGGGGCCCGGGACACCAGCTGGAACTGTAAAGCCTCGGGCACGGTCTGCTCAGGAAAACGGAGGCTCAGGCCGGGGACTGGGTCTTGCCACCAGGATTCCAACTGTGCCCGCATCTCATCAAGGATCTCCAGGCGGCGGGCCCTTTGGTCCCCGTAGTCCTCGAAGCAGTTGAGGAAGATGATGAGTTCGGCATCACCGTAGCCCCTCAGGTCTGTGCCCCGGCCAAATGAGCCCCCCTGCAGAGGATGGGCCATCTGAGACCCGTGACTGTCCCTGAGCTCAGGAGTCAGACTATGACCCCACCCGCTGTACCCCCACTGCAGTCCCAACACTACTCTGTCGCTGGTGTCAGGTCTGGGGACACCGTGACAGAGGCGGGCTGCACAAGCCCCGCGACCTCTGACTCTTAGAAGCCTGGCAGAGTCAGATTATGTCCGCCTGCACCTGCCTTCTGACCCTCGGGGCCTGCGCAAAGTCAGACCAACATGTAGCAACAGAAAACGGGGGGTGCGGTGAAGGGGGCAGGGATTCATGATTTTAGCCGAATATCCGCAGCACCTATTGACTGCCCATCTGGACCACACATGGCACGTTGAGGTCCCGGGGCCAAATGGGGCCTGTGGATGTGCTCTGCTGGCCTGCTTCCATCCATCCATCCGTTTATTGGGCACTCACATGTGGCAAGGTATGGGAGTACATAAAAGTTACCTCTTCTCCTGGAACTTACATTCTAGCAGGGGGAGAGGAGGGAGGGATAGTCTGCAAACAACAGCTCCCAGAAGCGCTAAGGGCTGTGTGCAGGCAAATAAGGCAGTAAGGGGACGGGGTGGGGCTGTGGAAGGGAGGTTGCAGTTGTGAACTGAGCAATCAGGCCTCCGTGAGACTCTAGAGGGCTGGGACCCTAGACTTAAAGGAGAGTGGGGGAAGCCAAGTGGATGGGGCGGGGGGGTGGGGTGGGGTGAGGTGGTGAGGGATTCCAGAAAGAGAAACCAGCCAGTGCGGACTCTGGCCAGTGAGTTCAAGAAGCAGCCAGGAGGCCAGTGTGGAGTAAGTGAAGTTCCGAGAAAGACCAGGGCCAGATTCTATGGGCCTCGAAGCCACTGTGCTCTGTGAACCCGGGGAGGGTTTTGAGCAGAGAGGAGGCGTGCTCTGTTAGTGGTTTAAAAAACTATCATTGGGGCGCCTGGGTGGCGCAGTCGGTTAAGCGTCCGACTTCAGCCAGGTCACGATCTCGCGGTCCGTGAGTTTGAGCCCCGCGTCAGGCTTGGGCTGATGGCTCAGAGCCTGGAGCCTGTTTCCGATTCTGTGTCTCCCTCTCTCTCTGCCCCTCCCCCATTCATGCTCTGTCTCTCTCTGTCCCAAAAATAAATAAATGTTGAAAAAAAAAAAAATTTTTTTTAAAAAACTATCATTAAAAAAGATCCCCCCCCAAAAAGCTGGTACTTAGATACATACCTCCGGCCAGCAAACTACCCCTCCACGGATGCCCACTTGCCCTGCCCGCCCTCAGCCACGCTGTGGCTCCTCCCCCTCCTCGCTGTGGTGCCCCAGGAGGGTCCCATCGGTGTCCCCACCCATCGACTTACCTTGCTGACTGTGGACGCCCTGTAGAAACGCTTCTCGCAGAGGCAATGCAAGATGACATCGATGGCCTTGTTGACCTGCTTCTGGAACTGGGGGTTCGGTTTCAGGTGGTCCTGGATGAAGCGGTCCAGGTCCTTGGTGCTGATGCGAGACAGATCCAAGGCCGTCCCCAGAGTACAGGGGGTGGTGCTGGCTGTCCCTGAGGGGCCGGGAGCTGGGCGTGAGGGCTGCCTGCTCCCTGCACTTGGGTCCACGGCATCGAGACTGCTGCTCTCCTCCGGGGCCCTCTGGGCAGAGTCTCGCTGGATGGGGTGGTCCAAACCTGAGCACCCAGGACGTGGAAGGCCCTGGAAGTTTGTTGAAGGAGCTGTCTTACAAGCGAAGAGGCTTCTCCATCCCTTCTCTCACCACCCCCCTCCCATTGCGCGGTCAGGGTGACCGAGACTCAGAGAGAGAAAGCGAGAGGGTCACCGCTAGCCCCTAAGGCGCCTTCGTGCAGATTAGATGGAGGCGCCCTTCCAGACGGGATAAATTATAAAAAGGTCCCCGGTGCCGGGCGGACACAGCACGGACAGTAAGCAGATGATAACAGTGCCACCGGAAAGGTTCCTCCAAGCAGGCTCAGCTTGGTGATCAGGTTGTTTTACATGCCTGCGGCCCCCATTTTTCAAGCCTGTCCCACACCCCAGGGCCCCAGCACACAGCAGATGCTCAGGAAACACCGAGTACACGAATTGGGTGCGTAACAAGGATCCCGGGAGCCCCTCACTCACGGGCCCCTCCCAGGGCTGCACAGCGCCCCCCGCCGCCTGCAGAAAACACGGGTGCTCATAGCAAGACTCTGCCTCTCGGGCCAGTAGATCCCAGTGCCACGCTGCTCCGTTCCCCACGTCCCACGTGGGGTCAGCCGGGTCCAGGATCACGGGCCTGCAAATCCAGAGGGACAAGAAGGTTCTGGTTAGCGAGACGGTCAGGATCAGGGGCTCCGAGGTCAAGCAGGCCTGGCTCCAATTCCAGCTCTTCTCCTTTCCAGCTGTGTGACCTAGGGCAGATGACTTACCTTCTCTGAGCCTCAGTTACTTGGGGGGGGGGGGCTGCCGTGGAGATTACATCAGAGTCATGGTCCTCCACTCTGCACATTAGAATCATCAGACAGGAGGATCCACCCCCAGGGACTCAGAGTTACCCCCGCGACCAAGCAGTTTCACTCCCATGTGTCTCTCTAACGGTGCGGGCACACCGAAATGCGCGTGCAAGGCTGTTTGGAACAGCCTCATGGTAACAGCCCCGGAGTGGAAACCACCAAACTGTCCATGAGGAACAGAACGGAAAGCATATTGTGATAAATGCACACGATGCAAGTACTCTGCTCGGCAACAGAATGCAATAAGCAACAGTAAGAACGCCCCACCGTTGGTGGTCTTTTCACAGGTGGGTTCACTTTATAGAAAGGCATCAAATGTGCCCTTGGTACCTGTATGCTACGTGTTGCATAAAATGTTCACGTGTAAAATACGTTCACGCAAAAATCTTTTTTTTTTTTAAAGGTTTACTTATTTTTGAGAGAGAGAGAGAGGGCGGGGGGGGGAGCGCTAGCAGGGGGAGGCACAGAGAGAGAGGGGGAGACACAGAATCCCAGGCAGGCTCCAGGCTCCGAGCTGACAGCACAGAGCCCACGACATGGGTTTCCAGCTCACAAACGGAGAGATCATGACCTGAGCCGAAGGTGTCGCTTAACGGACTGAGCCACCCAGGTGCCCCAGAAAAATCTTTTTAACGTTTTTTT